CTTTTCTTTGTTATTTATTCTACTTCATTCTGCACTATGAAAACTGACCAAGCGTGCCCTATCACTTGAAATGATAGAGAACAACTTCTGCACATCAGGTCGATGGTGGAAAACACTTTTTCACTGTCACCAACAAACAAAAGGGAATACTGATGGTGGTGTTAACTTTTTGTACCTGGAGCACGGAGGCCACGAAGGAAACGCGAGAACCGGCCTTCACTACAAAGTATATTTCTGGCAAATGTTCAGTCCCTGGATAATAAGCTGGACACATTTCAGAGCAGTATGGTTTTTCAACAGGACATCAAGTTTTGTAAGGTTATGGTTTTCACAGAGACTTGGCTTGACCCCTCGGACTCCACCATTGTTGCAGATGGGGTCTCCATTCATCGCCAGGACCGGACGGTAAACTCTGGGAAGAGCAAGGGAGGAGGTGTCTGCTGCATTGTGAATGATCTATGGTGCTCAGATGTGGAGATTATTTCTTCGGGCTGTTCTTTGGACCTTGAGCACCTCATGATCAGATGCCGACCTTATTACCTCCTTAGGGAGTGTACATCGGTCATTATAACATGCACATTCCCCCACATGCCGACACTTACCTCACGGTTGGAGGCTGCATTTATTGTGGCCGGCAATTTCAATGTCACCAAGCTCAGAGACCTTGGGCTCAACATCGCCCTCTGTGATTGGATACTGAACCTCCTGACGGGCAAACTGTAGACCCCAGGCAGTGCAGATAAGTAGCACCATATCCTCCACCCTGATTCTCAGCACCAGTGCCCCCCAGGGCTGCGTGCTCAGCCCCCTCCTGTACTTCTTGTTCACGCATGACTGCGTGGCCACCCACAGCTCCAACACCATCATTAAATTTGCTGATGACACAACCGTCATAGGCCTGATCACCGGCGATGAGATGGCCTACAGAGAGGAGGTCAGAGCCCTGACATCTGGGTGCCAGGACAACAACCTCCAACTCAACATCAGCAAAACTAAGGAGCTCATCGTGGACTACAGGAAGACAGGGGAGTCAGCTGCTTCAGGTTCCTCGCGGTTCACATCACTGATGACCTTACCTGGACTCACCACACAGACTCCATCACAAAGACGGTCAGACAGCAGCTCTTCTTCCTCCGCAGGCTGTGGAGGCTCAACATGGACCCCAGGATTCTCTGCAACTTCTACAGGTGCACAATTGAGAGTATCCTGGCTACTGGCTGCATCACAGCCTGGTATGGCAGCTGCACCGCCCTGAACCGTAAGGCTCAACAGAGGGTGGTGAAGTCTGCTCAGTGCATTACCAGGACGGAGCTGCCACCCATGGAGGACCTCTACACCCAGGGGTCCCAGAAGAGCAAAGGGATCATAAAGGAATCCTATCACCCAAACCATAAACTGTCATCTGGCTGAAGTTACCGCGGCATCCGGGCCCGCACCACCAGGCTCAGAGACAGTTTCATCCCCCAGGCCATTAAACTTTTAAACTCCTCCCATCTGTCATAATTCATATCTCTGCACCTTACAATATTTGCACCAATTTTTACTTTTAATTTCAAAATGGCTGTCCACCAACGTTCACCATCCAACCTGACGGAACTGGAGAGGATCTGCAAGGAAGAATGGCAGAGGATCCCCAAATCCAGGTGTGAAAAACTTGTTGCATCATTCCCAAGAAGACTCATGGCTGTACTAGCTCAAAAGGGTGCTTCTACTCAATACTGAGCAAAGGGTCTGAATACTTATGACCATGTGATATTTCAGTTTTTCTTTTTTAATAAATTTGCAAAAATTTCTACATTTCTTTTTTTTCTGTCAAGATGGGGTGCTGAGTGTACATTAATGAGAAATAAAATGAACTTTTTTGATTTTAGCAAATGGCTGCAATGAAACAAAGAGTGATAATTTAAAGGGGTCTGAATACTTTCCGTACCCACTGTATAATTGGCTCGATAATGGAAATTTTATTTTATTATTTATTTATCGGTATCTGCAATTATAGCTGATAAAAACAGGTCACGCTTATGATGTCATACATCCGTGCCTGTCCATACCAGCGTGATGTGTTTATGTCAGAACTGAAAACTGCTTTGCCTGTTTTTCACACTTTCTGAGAGCGACTTTAGGATTGCAGTTTGCAACAAATGTCAAAAGGTTCCGAGAGGGGGAAAAACATTTGCAAATTTTAACACTACCAATCTCATAAGTTACCTTTGAATCTGTCATTGCAACGACAATGTGTGGCGAGAATACCAGGGCGCTTGCAGCCAGCATTATATCGAGTGCCTATCCAGCAGACATTTGAGAACTGCAGGAATATTGCTAGAAACAGTCCACAGGCTCAAGCAATTAATGACTGATTGATGACCAGCTTTTTTCCATGGTAGAAGTTAAGGATTTTGCCGGCCAATGGCATATTTTGAGCCCTGCTACACTCTGCAAAATTGCCACTACTTTTCAGATGTGTCCCTGCCTGCCCTATATTATGTGGTTGCCGCACACATTCATAGTCTGATAGATGCTAGCGATTTTACCACAGACATATGGCCCTCAGACATAAGATGCGCTTTATATTTTGTTTCAACTAATTGTATTTAATGATGATATTTCTGTTCAGAGATATTGTCAGTGCATTTAAGT